CATCCACGTTTACCCTTTGCAGACCCCTTTTTCAGCTCTTGCATAATTTTGTTTTCCTTTTTTTCCCCGAACTTTGTTCGAAATTTATACATGGGATTTTGGCCTGTGCTGATGCAACAAGTTATCCTATATTCAAATTTTCGCAGAAGCTGATTTAACTGATTTCCGTTGCATGGTAGTGTTAATTTGACTTTCCGCGGTGGTAACTAGCGGCGTTAGATTGCAGGCTGCTCGCTCGAATCGTGGTCAGTGTGGGGAAAACCTATTGTTGATTTGCCTGCATGGTAAATAGGCGCTGCTTGTGCATAGCACGCCGAAGAAACTGAAACCGCAATTGGACAGTCTTTCAAAAAGGAGTTGGCGAAAGCTTGACCAACGGCTGACGTTAGCGGAGTGCTGTTATCCGAGCTATTACCAAATGCGTCTGTTCCTCATATAGCGCAGAGATACGGGAAGGGGCAACTTCAACTTCAAATGGACAGTGGACATCACCAGTGTCCATTCTCCTACAAAAATTTCATAGCACTTAGGCAAAAACATGCGTAAAGCAGCGACTGTCCGTTTTTAACTTTCTTTGGTCTCTTCTTCCAGAAACTCTAGTTTGCGCGAAGAGGTATTATCCTAATTGCTTTAATAATCGTGGAACTTCACCGTTAAAATTTACCCCCGTCCCTTTTACAGAATCTTTTGTTTTCACTGTTCAAATGAAAACGGTTTTGGCAGTGCACATTTTTAATGCTGGACTATAGTTGGATACCGCGTAAATCCGGCGTTTTTGTTTTTATTCCTCCTGTCATGCTTCTTTTTTTCCAAAATAACTAGACCGTTATGCTTGTGTATAGGTCAAAATGAGTTTTATCGCCTCTGTTGATCAACCAGCAAAAAATAGCCGTCCTGCGATTTATCACCTAAGTCACTGAGATTTTGGGGTATTCTCTAAACGGGAAAATTACCGGAGCCTGCCTCATCTTTAGAATTTTTTTCATTCTAATGTTCGTTCGTCAAAGACGGTCATCCCACGCGATTTTTCGTGCAAATCTGTGCGTATGGTATGGCTAGCCTACTGTAACACACTCTCCCCCCCCGTATCCTCGTAAAGGTTCTAATTAGGCATGTTTTTTGGCCAGATTTGCACGGAACACTTTTAAAAAAACGGTTTAAAATTATCAAAAGTTTGGGGAATTTTAATAATTGTGTTCTTTTGTGTACTCAAATTTGTTCAGGTTTGGATTTTCAGGAAAGAGAGATGTGCGAGTAAGGCTCGTTGATAGAGCAGATCTAACCATGAATGGCAGAGAGGCTCTAGTGACGAATGGCAAAGAAGCTCTTGCGACGACGAATGGCGAAGAGGCTCCAGCGACGAATGGCAATGAGGCTCAAGCGACGAATGGCGAAGAGGCTCCAGCGACGAATGGCAATGAGGCTCAAGCGGCGAATGGCAGAGAGGCTCAGGCGGTGAATGGCAAAGAGGCGCAGGTGAAAAGACAGGTAGTTCATTATAATCTACGAAATATTCTCGTGCTACGCGCATTTTGCAAGTGTTTTTTTTTTCAGACACAGAAGCTGTCGATCGCCCAGACGGTTTTGTTGCAGATGAAAAAGAATGGCATGCAACCAGTGGAGAAGCGTGCGGAGGATTTCTACTTCTTGCGACCACTTGGTGAAGGCGCCTTCTCCACAGTAACTCTTATTATGGTTTTCGCATACAGTGCGCTTTAGCAAGTTATGGCAAAAATTTGATGAACACAAATTTTTTCCAGGTGTTTCTTGTTCGTGAGGTACGCAGTGGGAAGGAATATGCAGTGAAAGTGCTCACCAAGTCACTCATTTACCGACTTGATAAAGTAATGCTTGCTTTTTTTTTTGCTTCTCCCACCCCACACAGCCAGCGATTTAAATTGGAAGCCTGAGAAACGCTCGTTGACTGTTTGCAGGTAACCTCAGTTATGCGCGAAAAAGATGTGATGACTTCGCTGACTTATATACACGGCTCACATGAGCTTTTCGTCTCGCTTTATTGCACCTTCCAAGATGCATCGCGCCTTTGTAAGTGCTCTGCATTTGCATTCTCCCAGATTCTTGCTGCTTTTCTTTTTGTTGTTGCTCTTTCTCTTCATGCTCATTTTCTGAGGGGTTTGTTTCTTCCTTTTTTAAGATATCGCCATGACATATGCAGAGAATGGAGATTTGATGCAGTATCTTCAACGGCTTGGCTCTTTCGATGAAGAGGTTGCGCTTACATGTGTCATCAGCTAGCATACACGGCTTATCTCTTCCTCAAAATTCCTAAATTTACTAAGGAAGTTTGCGTGGAACTAAAAGCTGCCGGCCAACTTATTTGTTAACATTGGATTTGGCTCTGCGAAGGAATTGCTTTCCGAAATTGGTTCGTGTGTTTCAGGTCACTTTGTTTTATACAGCCGAAATTGTAATTGCACTGGATTTCCTCCATCGCTGTGGTATCATTCATCGGGACGTAAAACCTGAGAACGTTTTACTTAGAAAAAATTGGCATATTATGCTATCCGATTTTGGCAGCGCGAAGTTCACTGATCCAGAAAAGAGTAATTTTTAAGCTGAGATTCAAAAACTGTGTGAAAATCGAATTATTCCGCCCAGAATCACGGTTTGGTATTTCAGATGAGCCGGAAGTGAAATGTACTGTTCAGAGCGATCAACAGCGCAGTCGTTCAACTTTTGTTGGCACAGCCCAGTATGTTTCACCGGAAGTACTGGTGGACGGAGAAATTGGACCATCGTTAGTCTTTTGGAACTGCCTTTTGCGCTTTTCTCTTTTGAATGGTAATTGCCGCTGTCTCTGATTTTGTGCCTTTCTCAGATGTGATTATTGGGCATTGGGAGCTATGATCTTCCAAATGGTTTCTGGAATGGCACCGTTTCGCTCGATCAATGACTATCATACATTTCAAAAGATTCAGAGACTGGAGTACACCTTCCCAGAAGGATTCCCTGATCTCCCGAGGGATCTAGTTGAAAAGTTTCTGGTATGTCTTGGAAAATTGTTCCGCAGTTTTGCGCTTGTTTTGGTCCTACTGCAGTGATTTTTAACAAGAACTATTTGCGTCCATACATTTTTTGAGGGTTACTTTTTGGGAATTTTTGGAAGAATTAAGAATTGTTTTAGGTGCTTGAGCCGGTCAATCGACTTGGATCGGAAGAAATGGGCGGCAGCGCTGCTGTTCGTTCGCATCCGTATTTCGCCACAATTGACTGGAATAATCTTACGAAAAAAACCCCACCGGCGTTCAAACCCTATGTGCCGGCAAGCTCTGGCGAACCCGCTTTCCACAGTAATTATCATATTCCAGAGAACATAGAGCCTGGTCTTGATGATGCCGCAGTGACACGCCTAATGGGTCTTTCTCTGAGGGACTTCGTCCCTACTGAGTTCGTTCATTTTTTCAGTCAGATTAAAAGTCTTTGAAGATGTTCAAACCCCACCGGCGTTCAAACCGTATGTGCCGGCAAACTCTGGCGAATTGACTGGAATAATCTTACGAAAAAAACCCCACCGGCGTTCAAACCCTATGTGCCGGCAAGCTCTGGCGAACCCGCTTTCCACAGTAATTATCATATTCCAGAGAACATAGAGCCTGGTCTTGATGATGCCGCAGTGACTGACGTAGTACTGACGTGTGCTATCTTCCTGTGATTGTAGTTTATTGAAAATTTGTGACGATTGCATCGTTTTTCGGACAAAAATGGATATTATTCCAGCTCGCGGAATAAGGGTTTTTTATGCAGCAAGCTAGCGTAACAGGCAGTGAAAAATCGATGCACAGGAGATGTCAGGAATATCGGCGGAACTGTGGCGACATATAGTGGCCAGGAGCACAAATTCCTCGTTAATGTGCTTACTGAGCGCGAAAAATGGCGCGGGCGCCTTCGAAAGTTCCAGTTTCCTTAGCTCCAGTTCAAGATGAGTGAAGAACTTCTTTAACTACACTTATCCACACACACACCAACAAACAATCTCTTGAGAATGTGCAGTTTTGTTTACTAAAGCGATGTACAACAAAAATTCATAAAAAAGTATTTTCTTGAATATCCGTGCGGTTTTATTATAGTGTGCCCGAGACAGTCAAGGAGGAAAGCCAGCCGACGGAAACTCGCGAGCAAAAGCTGATCACTCAGCGCAGAGAACACAAATATCATCGTTTTGTGGAAGAGAATCTTATCATAAAGAGTGGCTTTTTGGAGAAAAAGAAGGTTGTCAATGATTTTTAGTCAGCGTTTTTTCGATACTTTGCACTGTACAAGAAATAATTGATTTACTCTGAATTGGCCGTGATAAGGTAGCGCGCTTGGTGTTGTGGTTGGCAGTGAGTGTTATCAAAAGTGCGTGCTGGGTGCTGTGGAGAAATTTTGCGGTAGAATATTAAAGATATTAATGATATGTAAAATAATAGAAAAATAAAAGTATATTAAAAAATGACAGCAATTTTTTGGTCCATTACGTCGTATATTTTTAATTCCACAGCCGGACCTCATTAGTAGCACAGTTGTGATGTTGATACGTATACGAGGGGGGAGATGTAAAATGAATATGTAGATTTCGCGTGAATGGCTGTTAGTTTTGCCGATTGGGCTCTCTTAGTGTATCAGCCTAAAATTTTTTTCAGTTAAGAAAAAAAAGAGGATTGTTTTTAGGGTTTGTTCTCACGGAGGAGGATGTTTTTGTTAACAGAAGGGCCAAATATTTATTATGTGGATCCACTGAGCATGGAATTGAAAGGAAAAATCCCATTCAGTCGACAGTTGCGCGTAGAGGCAAAAAATTTTCGAACCTTCTTCGTACATACGGTATGTAAATGTTGCTCGCTTTGTTCCATATTCTTTTTAGCATTGCGCACCATCAGCGCTGCTACTGACAGTTTTGCTGTAACCAAAGCACCATCTGGTCGTTAGCTTTGTCTTACGATTACAACTTGCTTTTCTTCTTTCTTCGTTTTTCCACAAGGAAATGCTAATTCGCCGCACTTATTTTCGTCGGCAGTGGATTTTTGCAGAACACAGTACCCCCCTCCCCGCCCCTTACTAATTTTGCCCGTGCTGCTGCGCATAGCTCTCATTGTGTGAATGTGCATGGCAGCAGATGTTATCTGAAAAAACTCTAGCTTCGCTTTCAACGAATGTCTTATTTTCCCCACATCTCAACCGCGCATTGCTATTAGCTGCTCATCTATTTTCAGCCGAGTCGAACTTACTATCTGTTCGATCCTGAACGAAATGCCGTGGAATGGTGTAATGCAATAGAAGCTGTGCGCGAACAGTATTTGCATTTTTTACCCGATGAGCCGATGGCCCCCTAATGTGACAAGAGCCCGAGACGTTGATGGCGGTGTTTCTTATTAACTTATTATTCAGCGCTTACTGATCATTCTCCATTCACACTTATTTATTTCGTCAAAATTTAGAAACTGCGACGTGCTAGAATATTCAGAACAGTGATCAGGCGGTGCTTGTAAACTTTCGCTTTAGGCACTGCCTACACATATAATACCCTTCCTTTAAACTGTATCTTTTTTTATTTTCAATTTTTTGTGTCTGTTTTTAGCGCGAGATCGTACATCTTCCAGAATGAATGTTACATCTAGTGATGGTATTTGGCGTCTACTTTTTATCTTGGGTCTTTTGTTTTTCTCCGAGTGAACTAATTCATCGGTGACTGGATTGGTTCTTTTCAACAGTAGATTGGCACTTCCGTGCACAGTACGGTAACATACCAAGCCGAGTTAAGCGCGCTTTTCAAGCAGCGTTTCGTAATAAATAACCATCAACGGACTTCTTAGTTGCTACCACCCGAAGCGCGTTTTGAATATATCCTTTTGTCAATGGGACAAAAAAAAAAAAAGAGAGGGCTTAATTTTTCATATCCTACATGCTCCGTTTCGGTCTTTTTCATTGTTTTCTCGGTGTTATTTTGACAAAAATGGATTCTTTTCATATTTGTTGTACTATGTCTTTCCTAGTGTTGGGCGGGTGATGAAAACCGAACACGGGATTTGTAAATTTTTATTCGTTGCAAAGTGTTCAGGGCTGACAACAAGCAGAAAGTTTGTTGCGGTCATTAGCGATTGGTAATTTTTTTGTTACTTGACAATCATACGATATGGTTTATATCCTGGAATTCTAACACTATGGCATTTTTTTTTTCGTGCTGCTCACGTTTTCTAAATGCTTTGTGTATTTGATTTGAACAGTACTTGCTGCTTGTCTAAACTAGGTTAAATTTTTTCTGTACACAAAAGTATTTGTATGCTATTGCGCACATCGAGGCATACACTGTCGCGTTTCTCCTCTTCTTACAGCAATTCTGGGAATAAGTGAGTGAGTTTGTACAGTATAGCAACTTGGGGAGGGGGGAAAGGGGGATGGTATTAAAAGGACATAAAGAGCGATACACAGCTGCAGCATCATTTGTTAAACAATATTTTGATGTATGAACTGTGCGGCGTCACTTTGTAATGTCTGAAACCACAATCACAGGTATTCAACGGATCCGATAGGGTGGCACCATTTTTTTTTTGTAGGTCAGCATTTTCTTTTGCGAGAATTCGGTTGTTACAAACGGCAGCAGCTGACCATCACGAATTTTCAACATATTGTGATGGGAACCATCCTGTTCTGAAACACCAGCACTTCTAAGTTCGCGCATAAAGCCCTGAGATAGAGTGATTATAAAAGAGTCTTGTAGAGGGAACTTGCCTTCAGCTAGATTTTTGAAGGTGGAAATTTGTTTCAAATTACTGGTAGGATTTTCGAATCACATACTGGATTCTGATAGGGTGGCAAAAAGATGACTTGCCGATTGGTGTCCATGTGCCTCACATAAACCCATCCTTTCGTACCAGCTCTGATGAGCTGCAACTTGTCGCCAACATTCAGACTCAGCTGATTTCCCGCCTGTGCTTCGAATGCCTTTGTACAGACCAGCAATTTCCCTGGCTCATCATCATCGCATAATTTCAGTGTTTCACCGAATTGTTTTTCAGGAACTTTTTCTGAAAACAGCTTACCAGAAGTAGTTGTTACTTTCTTCCCAAAAGTCGAATGCAGCGATGGGGGGCGAGCGAAACTGCAGCCTTTGGATGCAAAAAAAATTTTTTTCTGAAACAATCTTGGAATGCGGCTAGCTTGCATGGATTAAAAGGGCAGGCCTTCCCATCAATGCATGCGCACAGCTAAAAATCAACATATCCGGGCATTTAAGGTACTTCAGGAATGTTGTGCGAGTTGTTTGGCGGCGTGGTTTGTGGACTGACGAAAGAGGCATTTATGTGTTCAAAGCCCACCGGAAATGAATTTTGTAAAGGTGGAGAGCATGAGCTATTGGATTTTTGATGCAGGAAGTGTTGCTTTGCTTCTTAAAACTGGAAAGGCCACTGTAACTGGTGCCTTGCTGTAAGGTTCGGATAACGCAAAGATAACAGTTACGTGAGTCACAGATAGCCCAGTTTTACTTTATGAGGAGGGGAGTGGTACTGCTGTTAAGGATTAGTAAATTCTGCACTGCCATACAAACAGCAGCGACTGTTGGGCATCTTCAAACTGATACAGGCAAAAGCTTTGGAATCGGCTTTAGAATTTCTGGAAGACGGGTGAAAGCAAGCATGAGTAAGGAATCTCACCGATATATCTTGGAGCTTGTTTCACAGAAATCACTTTTACTCGACTCTCGAACAAGGCTTCTTCAGGGACCGCTTCTGTAGTTTTCAACAGAGAGCTGTTATTGAGCGAAGACCTATCTGTTATTGACTCCCTGCATTCTCTGTCGTCCTTCTGAAATATCGAAAGCACTGAACGGTAATTTCTGAACAAGTCTAATTTCTAAATAATAGAGAAGTCACATAATGAAATTAAGTTACGGGCAATCACTGAAGCCGGGCTAGACAGTTACTAATGGCTGTCCTAGTTTATGCGCTCAGAAAAGGGCGATTCCGGATTATTTCGCAGAAAGGGTAATTTCCGCTTAACCGAAGTTACCCGAAAAGAAGGATTGGTGATTGAGGAAATTAAGAGAATCCCCCAGCGCGTCATCATGTTGAAATGACCACGAAATTCTAGCTTTCTACGCTGTCTTGGTGTAGAAATGAGACAGTGTTAACGATTTTGTAATTTCAATTTTTACTTTTCCGCGCGTGAGAAGTAAATGTATCTGAAATAGGATTTCACCTTTTTTTAGAGTGCGTGTAGTCAGCTTTGTACCCTCTGCGGTTGCTGGGCTCGATGATTCTGCACTGAAGATTTTATATGTCGGTACGTCACACGTAGAAGTGCGCGAAAGCTGAGTTAAAGGTTTCAGACCCTTAACTAGTCAGGGAGCGCCTCCATGGAATTTTACACTTCTAGCTCGTCTGGTTGTTGAGTGAGGATTATGCAAATTCATATCTAATGGTTCACACGTGTATGAGATGTAAGAGAATGTAAAAGCTGGTTCATGAATAAGAGGCGGATATTGCGACGACGGTGCTTGCAAAATCTGAATTTTTTAAATTGTATGATTTCCGAGCTGTAAGGATGCAAAAATTTTTCACTTTAAAATCTGGTGCTTTGAGTCACAGGACACGCGAAAGTTGATTTTGTGGTCGTGGAGCCACACATCGACAAGAAATTCTTGTAAAATTTCAGCTTTCTTACCTGATTTCTCGGTTATATTTCGGGTGCGAACGATAGTACGTGGTTCCGGGTTGCGGTGGTGTTAGTAGTGTCTCTAATTGGAATTTTGCTTGTGATTGCGAGACATAAACGTGCGTGAAAGCTAATTTTACGTCTATGGTGCCACGTATGGTCAAAAAATGCCTTCATAACACTTCAGTCTTCTTTGGTCACTAAACTGAAAAATCCAAATATCCGAACACATATGCACACAAAGAGAAACTTTTGATATTCGTTTTTGCATTGCATTAACGATGCAAAAATACAAAATGAAGGACTTTATAATGAAACTAACTTCTTTCTGAGGTGAACTAACTAGTGTGCGATCCGCACTAGATACCAATTTTCTGTTGTCTTCCTGTTCGTCCTAAATATCCCACAAAGAATTGTTTCATTAAAATCAAGATCAAAGATTAAAATCTATACCTATTCATTATGAAAAGCAAAAACACATAGGTGCTTTAGAATATATTAAATGAGCTTGAGAGTGACTGGACTCCAAAACTACGGAAGACAAACCATGAGATTAAAAAACGCATATTATCAGCAAAAGAGAAACAACCTGGCGTCAGAAAAAAGGAATCTGGAGTCCGTGACACACCGAATTTGATGAGTTAACAGATAGATAAAAATTTTTATAATTACTGGGGCTATAAGGTCGAGACGCAAAATTTTACTGTTTTTTAGTAAAAACTATTTTTAGAGTGATGTTAGGGGAAGCAACCTCCGTTTCGTTACTGATAACCAGTGTCCACTGTAGCTGAGTCCGTTGAAGCATATCTGTGAAATGCTGCAACCAGCTATTGTGTTTCTCGACAAAAAACTGAAATGTGCTGTCAAAGAGTTTCAAAAATAAGATCTATCGATACGCATAGCTAATAACCGCATATTTTTGTAACAACGAGAATGAGATGCGGTAGGTCTCAGAGCAGTAATGGCACTTGCAGTGAACCTAGCAAAACCGGAGAAGGGTGCGAATTTTGGAAAGCTCTGGTCAAGTGGTTCGGTCAGTAGTTGGCCAAGGGGATATTCAGCGGACGGACAAAGTCGAAAACTGTTTTGCGGCACAAGATCTCAGATATTACCTCTCAGTTTGCTCCCACATTTGCAAGATATTGATGAGGATTACTAACAACTGACAGCTGAGGGAACAACCAGGCTTCTGAACTGATCATTGTATTTCTTTAATGTTGCTGCACACCTCATCTCAGAGTTCTGAAGAACGGGTGTTCCCTCAATTACCGCGACGAGTATCACTTTAGTCGAACAAAATCAAAACAATTTGACGCTCCCTCGCTCTCATACTTTGCATAAGTAGGAAATGTGCATTTATTTTCAAAGCTGTAAAAGCAATAGCGCAGGTTGTGATAAATTTTGATGAAATATGGTAAACAGGCGGTTAAATAGTTTCAGATGTTAGCGCCGGAAAAGCGGAGATTAGTTACCTTTGGCACCGGAAAAATGAAAGTTGGTTACCTTGTAGCGATGATTTTGCTGCTCGGCTACGACTGCAAGCTCATCGTTGTAAAAATTTTTCAAATCGTTTTGATGCTGAAAAGAGTTTAAAAAATTTGCCTCAGAATTGTCTCAAGGCAAATTCAGTCCGAAAAAAAGTTTTACAGCATTGTTACTGTATCATGTTCGGAGACGCGCAAAAAGTAATTTGGTGGCTCCAATTGTCTACATTTTTCAAAAGTCAGGAGAGCGGTAAAGAAAAAACAGATAACCTCGGATTTCAAGCGCTTTATTTTACTGTAGCTTTTTTCGCGTTTTTTGAAGCCGGAAATCAGTCTTTTCAGGTTGTCTTTTTCGTTTGCATTGTATCTTTCAATTTTTGTAGCGATATTCTTGAATTCATTTACCTGAAAATCAAACCACAACCATTCATACGCGCTTTATAGCATATGGAAGCATGCAGCTGATAAGCCCTTGTCTGTGTGCAGATTTTTTAATATGCGGATGATTTGAAGCCTTCCTTCCTCCTCCACTCTCTTGGTCACAGATATTTACAGTTTAAATCCCTATAATTTCCATATCATCTGAATACAGATCTTAGTTGCGAGATGTGATAGCTTTTTGCTTGTATGTACACATGCAGCTAATCACTGAGTGGTTCACAACGGCTGGCTCTAAAACGCAAGGCTGCCCAAAGTCTCCGATATGTGCCGGAATTGTTTGGTTTGGAAAATTAGCTAACGGCTTTTGAATGCTTGGCTTTTAAACGTTTTTTGCCATTACGGCACTTGTATCCGCAACTAAGTGCAGCCGCTACTACCGCCTCAGAATTTTTCAATTTAGCTTTAATAATGCCTAGAAAATCTGAGCCGCATAATCGTGTTGTAGTAGCTGCTTCTGGTAGTGAGTACAAAAGTATAAAATCGTTTCTAAATGGGGCTCAACATGCTGCTGATTTTGATCGATGAAAAGTAAAACCTCTAAAACGCGATCCACGATTTTTGTACAGTACATTTTGAACTTGCTTGTATGGCCCAGTGGGACAGTACTGTTGTCGTGCTGTAGGTCGAAGGTTCGATTTCGTCGCTGGGACAATCACTACCTCTACGTTCACTCATTCGTCTCGGCAGTAAAATGGTGGTGACATATGCCGGGAATGAAACCGGCCATCAGCTTCCTTATAAGCAGCCTTCGAATCAACAGCTTTGCGAGCGGCTGGCTACCGTTGGTATTTGCTGCCATTCGGACTGCTTTCCGAGCGCCTCCGCCTGTCACTAAGAGCGAATTCGGAAAGGGTTTTTATCTTTTGACCTTAACGTTTCGAACCAACAGTTGACTGTTTCTGTGAATGCTTTTCCCTTAAAACTGCTTTCAGTTTGGAATCAAACTGAACGCAGTGCAAGACTTAGTTTGTTCTGACAGCGATTTGATTTTACTGACAGCGATTTGATTTTACAGATAAATTGTCTAACGACCGGCTTTTCCTGCACTGCGCATTTGATCGTTTATATCTCACTGAAAGGTTGTGCAAGAAACTACTGTTGTGGATGCTTCATCCTCATCACTCTTTATAGAAATTCAAAAATTTACAAATTCTGTGTTTTCCCTCAAAATGAACCGCATCAATTCAATGTACTCCTTCAGTTTTGCCACTTGTTTTTGCGCCTTCTGCTCAGAATCTGCACCAGCAACCGTCAGTTCCTCCAGTGCATTGACATATCCATCACTCGCACAGTGCAGAACTGAATTATTTCTGCGTTTATGTCCAACGTATAATTTTTCCTCACTGCTTAACTACTTTATTTATGGCATTATATAAATTATGAAGAAGCTGAACTCTCGTCCAAGTCGCTGTTTAGAAAGTGAAGAAAGCAGTGGTGGGAGAAGCAAATAACTAACTTTGAAATGCTTTTGTTAGTTCTGCTCCCGCACTTGCCACTCGTTTTGCTGCTGAAAATTCTAAGTTTGGTGCAGAAATACAGTGTTAGACCATAACGGAACGAACTTTTCGTTAATTTCAAACAAACTGAGTAAAGTCTGTGCCACATTTTGTCCGGTCAGACAAAAATCGCGCTATAAGTGAACAGCCAGCTTTATAACCAACTGATAATCAAATCCAGGTTAGAACGCATCAAGCTTGCCAGTGCGATCATGCGTTTTTGCACTAAACTTAAGGCAGTCAAATCGCCAACTGTACGAATAGTTGTTGCTTTGCATTTAACTTGTGCACTCATTACTGTAAAACGCCGTAAATTTTGCGCCAAGAAAAGTGAATAATTTGCGTTGGGCTGTCGTCCACTGGAAATCAGCTAGCTGCCCTGGTTCCAAGGTTTGCCATTTTCTCGCCAAAACTTTCGCGTACACGCACGTGAAAACCACGCGCACAGAGAAGCTGGGTTTGAAGTCTATAAATCGTATGTGGACAGGGAATATCGCTTTAAAATCCCAGCTTTCCAGCATCTCTGGCCCCTTGGTTAGCAATTTTCCCGCCAAAAATTTTATGCGCTCGGACGTGAGTACCACTTATGCCTGGAGGTCTTTAATTTTTACGTGGGCAAGGGAGATACCAGCTTTCCAGCTCTTAAAATTTCAGTTTTCCAGTTATTCTAGTTCCCGAGTTAAAAGTACTCCCGCCGAAACTTTCTAGTCCTCAAACGTGCGTGAAAGTTAGTACCACGGTCCGGGGCTAGCGCTTGGCCAGCGAACCCACTGGCAAAACTTTTGTCTCGAAGCTCGCTTGATTACCGAGTTGAAATATCCGGACAGACAAACACACACACACACACACACGCATACAATCATACACACGCACACAGGGTCGTCACAATATACGTTTTTGCTGTCTGTTGCGCTCCAGCGCTGCAAATTAAAATTGCCTAAAAAGCTTGTACACATATACCAGGATTAAAAGGTATGAAGTAGCATCAGCGGTAGCCACACTGAGAGCTCTGTGCTGTTAACTAAAACTATCTTGGTCATCTCTTTAGTCTAGTTTTATGCAATTTGATGCATGTTCACCATAGGCATGGCGGGTAGGGGGCTGCACTGTTGATTCCCACTCTTAACAAACTTGATACTTAGACTGTGCACGATACTTAGATTGATTCCTTATCTCCTACTCTTTTACCGCTTGTCATATCAGACTCATTGATATATCAACAGCCGTGAAGCAACAGTAGGATAAACTACAACAATCATAAATAGCCAGCAAAAACTAAGAGTTTAGTACCACTTCTTGAAACGCTCTGAGCATAATGCATTATGCTCAGAGCGTAGTGCATTATGAGCTTACTTTAATGACTTTAACATTTCCCGCTTTTGCAGCTGCATGAAAGCGAGCATAACTTCGTACGGGACAAGTCTGATGTCACAGTCCGAAGTTCTCAGTGCCGTCAAAATGCAGTCAAATACTATACGTAGCCGATTCAGACTTTCACATATTTTAATTGCCTATGTCGTATTTGGCCTTTCTAGATACTTCGTATTCCACTGCGCGTTTCGCTGCATTTGCTTGAATCCAAAAATTTTTGCTTTTATACATTCCCATTATCCAACTTCGAATCGTTGCCACAACTTGACCTACGCAAAAACGAAGCACAGGTGATGATATTTTAGAGATATATTGAAACTTCAGAGCAAGGAAATGAACGAACCGGGTTGGAATTGATGAAGCAGCTGCCGGTAAGCGGCAATAACCGTCTTGGAGTTCACGTCTTTCTCCGCTGAATTCATCATCCAGCTAACTGTTCAGCACCTGTTGCCTTATTTCCTGACCTCTGCAGTTCGTTGAAATTTATCGCTTTTTGCTTTTATGTAAAGTAATACGATGCAACACACTCCCACCCTAAATTACGCCCTAAAAATGGGAGCGTTTTGACATAGTTCCCCTAAAAGCCACCGCCGGCAGCACTTTTTCTGCTTGCTGGCTGAGAATCCTGCGAAAAACTTCTGAAAATGCAAACTCTGATTCAAAAAGTACGTTGACCAACAGGGTAACAACAAAGTTTGGGGAACAAAGCGGTATCGCTCGCAAGGCTTATGTTGCCTGGCGAGCTAATGGTGCTGCTTTTTCTTCTGGCTATCGCTTCGTGGTAAAGTTGAGAACATGCCGTCAAACTAATGGTACAGCGTAGAGTTGTGAACGGCATCAGTAGCATTCGAACTGTAGCGAAGGAAGAGAGGCACGACCGAGGAAGCAATCACTGGATGATAGGACGAACAGTTTTCGAGCATCAATTGGTTGGAAAACAGAGGCATGCTTTCTTCGAGCAAGCATCCAGCTCTATTCCCATTCTCCGTGTGAGACGAACGCCTTCCATCCCGAACCGTCATTTGCATTTTTGAACAGCGAAGTGATGGCAGAGAACGCAAGAATTTTTCGCATGTACGAAAACTTTTTATCTGATGCTTGCACCACATCGTACTGCATTTCGGAGATATAAACCAAAAAGCCGGTTGCTGATTCAGTGCGAAACAGAAGTAGCAAAGAGCTGACCTAAGGCATTTTCGCGAGGAGGATATAAATTTCTCCTTTTAGAAATTTTATCAGGGAGCTGCGTGGCTTCGGTTACTTTCCACCGTTTTTGTCAAGTACAAGTACCATCAATCCAGAAATATCCAACACTCGTTTTATATACATAAATACACACACACAGTGATACTCGAGGTCAAGTTTCTGCTTTTGAAGTAAGCAACATGCTCAGCTCACCAAAAATTGCTTTTTTTTGCATCACTAAAATATAATATTTAACACAGTGCCAAAAGACTACCAATTTACCATAAAAAAAAATTGGCCAACGCACGGGCTGCCCGTGCGAAGATGCGTTTTTTGCAGAGTTTTTTCGGCAGATGCTTCTAGTTGAAAGAATTTCAGACTGGCCGCCAGAACTGTCAGGAAACA